AAAAAATATTTAATAGTTTAAGAACATCAACTAACAAAATCAATAGTTTTCTTATTAGTCTTACTTTAAATACTTATGAAAAACTGAATAACTTTCTATAGTAAGCATTCTTTACTTGACATATTATTATTTTTAGTATTATTAATTATCACAAATGGTATATTTGTTATCAGCAAAGTATTAAATCTGGCATTCTATAGAATACCAAAAACTGGCCGGCAGTGTATCAAATTATTAAACATTTCACTCCTTGTCTGGGCATTTTATAGAATGCAAATGACAAACCAGCAAAGTATGAAATACATCTCCATAATTACATACAATGTCTAGTGAACATATATATTAATTCCTGCAACAAATTGAGAGTCGCAATGAGTTTGACAAGGGGTGGTTTCTACTAAATTGGAATTTCTGAAAGAATTTTTAAAACAGCTATATACGAGACCATGGTTAAATTTTATGCTCATCATGGTTAAAGAACTTGCTTTGAAGAACTTGGTTAAAGAACTTGCTTTGTCTGATCATGGTTAAAGAACTTGCTTTGAAGATATTTCTGACTATAAAACTCCTCTCTGGTTAGTTTCAGATGCTCAGTCAAATGGAAGTAAACATGGATTCGTCAAGTATATAAGCAAAACAAAGCAAAAACCAAAAAAAAAAAAGTAATGAACTGAATTCAAAATATCATTCAAACCTACCCTACTGCAACAAATTACTTTTAATTTATTATTTTTAATGTTTTTTTAAACAAGAAAAACATAATTTGTGTTTCATACAACTTTCCTTTTTCTTTATGTACTTTGTAAATGGTACTCTTCACTATTTTTTTTTTTTAAAATAACATTTGTATTTTTGAAGAATACTCTTTTAAATAATAGCTTTATTACAATATTTTCTCATACTTTGCCTAAACAGCATTTGTCATTTGCAGCTATAGAATGCATAGGTGTTATATACAATGCCTATGTAAAGTATACAGGGTGATTATAAATAGTTTTTACAATTTAAGAGGGGTGTTAGTACTCGTCCAGATGAGCAATCATTACCATAGAACATAGGGTCGCATTCCACTCTGAGAGCCAGAAAAGAGGAATATTAGAATTCCAACCTAAACATACAACAGTGTTCAGAGAGCGAATGAACAAGACCAAAAGTTGTGCAATCAGTTTAGTGAAAAACTCGCGGAGAATGCACAAAACCGATAAAACCAAAAACTTGCCGTTCGAGTATTAATTCGAGCTCAGATTTTGATGGCAAACACTCAAATGCACATCTTTGGTTTCCAAGGTACTTTTGGCACCCTTCTATGGACATGAAGTTCCGACAGCCGGAACACAATATAAACTTTTCATTCTAATCTCGGCATACAGCAGAAGTTGGAGTTATTTGATAATATAAGTTGTTGTGATCATCTGTGAGGTTGAGACCTTGTGAACCAAAGATGTGAATTTGAGTGTTTGCCATCAAAGCCTGAGCTCGAATTAACACCCGAACGGAAAGTTTTCAGTTTTATCCATTTTGTGCACTCTCTGTGAGTTCTTGCTAAACTGATTGTGCAACTTTTGGTCTCGTTCCTTTGCTCTCCCAACACTGTTGTATGTTCAGGTTGGAATTCTAACATTCCTCTTTTCTGCCTCTCAGAGTGGAATGCGACCCTATGTTCTATGGTAATTATTGCTCATCTGGTTGAGTACTATCACCCCTCTTTAACTTGTAAAAACAATTTAGAATCACCCTGTATAATAATTTTCATATTCATCCTTTGCCTTAAGTTGTCGGATATTCTAAAAAATGCCTAGGTGTTCTGTATAATGAGAGCATTTCATACTTTGCTGGTAATGTATAAATTCATTATACTATTATGCAGAGTATTTCACTAATCCATTTAGAGATTTCAAACCTAAAGATAAAATTTAATGCTCTTTGAGTGACTTTTCAAGCAAATTTTTAAAATGCAAAGAGTAATAATGTATAGAATAGCAATCTGAAACTTTCTGAATTTTGAAAATTGGTTTCAAGGATGAGTTTACTAACATTTCTACAAAGCAATTAATGTCAATAATATTTAATTGAGGCAACAATTCCTAATTTTGGGTTATTAACAAATGGAACTGGAAAGTTTATGTATGTAAACAAAATAAAAGCACATTGAGTACATCATTGTTTGTAATCAAGAGCTAATTGCAAAGACTAATAAATAATATAGTTGTATACTTGGTGTTCCCAAGTTTAACTATGCTTAATTTTTCTTTACCTACGTACTAATCTAATGGCATTATTGTAAACTGAAATGTCTAAGAAAAATTTACTGATATTACATTATAAGGTCTCCTGCCTTCTTAGCATGGCTTCGTGGTGTAGTGGTCAGCAAACTCGGCACGTATTCAAGAGGTCTGTGGTTCGTGGGCGTTGCTCATTTTTCACATCTCTCAGCATCGAAATTTTCTAATGTCTCTACGGTGGCACTTGAATTAAAAAAGAGGATTTGGCGATTGTGTCTCTTAATCCTATGTCACCCTTTAGAAGGGGGAGTATATAAGGTATTTCTCCCGGGTTCTTAGCATGCCTTCGTGGTGTAGTGGTCAGCAAACTCAACGCATATTCGAGAAGTCCATGGTGCGAGTCCCGGCGAGGGCATTGCTAATTTTTCATGTCTCAAAATAACCTAATGTCTCTACAGTGGTGCAGAACTAAAAATGGTGGTCAATGATGATTCACCACCACCTGGATTTGGCCACTGAGTCCTCTAATCCCCAGTCGCTCTTTAAAAGGGTGAGTATGTAAGGTATTTTTCCCGCCAAGAAGGCCCGCCACATCCTCGTGATTTAATGGCCAGTACACTCGGTGCATATTCGAAAGGTCCGTGGTTCGAGTTCCAGTGAGGGCAATGCTCATTTTTCATGACTCTTGCTTCAAAAAATACATAATGTCTCTACAACATTACTGGTTAAATATTACATAACTCCCTATTAATAACAGCCAAATTAAATTAGCACCAAAAAGGAACAGTCAAATTAGGTTAACAAATTCTGCATGGCTTTCTGGAGATCATTCAGTCACTGAAAGAGGATAAAATTTTAATCATGCCCATTCAAGATAGGTACCTCAAGCCACTGTCTTTCAAACTTCTCTAGAAATAAACATTGCATTATGCAGTAAAGTTTCATGACAAATATTTGCATCATAATGATATACAACCGCTCTGATGGCACACATCATGAAACAAATTTTGTCATAGCATAGATATCCAGCATGAAAATCAATCACTTTATAAACCAACCACAATATAAAACTTAAGGTCACTTGGAAATATCCCATTTCTATGTAGAGTGAAAAGAAAGATACAGTTTGCTTCTTGAGCCAATAACTTGCATCATGACAATGCCATACCTTTTCAGACCTAATTATCATTAGTCTTAGTCTAAACCACTTATATCCACCATGCTAAATTGGTGATTTTCAATGTACCTTTTCTCAAAACCTGCCATAGATACACATCTGAAAATTTTTGTGTAATTAAAATACACCTTTCCGATTCTACTGAAATGAGCTTTTGATAAAGTTTGAGATTTAGAGTAATTTATAGACTATTGTATTAGGCATAGTAAAATTTAGCACTTTTTTCACTTTCACAGTTTATCACACAAAGCTCATTTTAGTAAACATTAGGAAACATAATAAATAAACCACAAAAAAATTTATATAACCTGTCAACAGTACTGAGAAAAGGTACACAAGTATAAAAAAAATTACATTTGGAGTAAAATGTGTTTTTATGTAAAAAATACTTATTTATCAAAACATTCAATAATAAATTAAAAATAGATTTTCACAGCAATTTAAATACAGTATTTTTAGAAAAATAAAAGTGTAGAAAATTTGAAAATGCAAAAATCCCAAATCACCATTTTTTGAAAATTTTTGGCTTCCGATACCACTGCTATATAAGTTAGTGGTGTCAAATTGCCAGCCTGCAGCCACATGCAATCCCCAAAGCAATTAAACGGGGACCATAACCATATTTCATTTATGTTTCTATTGAAATATTGTGGTGCAAAAGTGCTCAAGATTTTAGTTACTTCTGAGTAAAGTCCGAGTTCACATTATTTTCCTTATCATTAAAAATGAACATGCACATCATAAAATCTATAAAAAGAACTAATTAATTTACAGTATGATATAAATCTTATTCAAAGATCTGGAGATAGAGAATTTTATTAATATTTATTAGTACTCGTCAAAATATAGTCAGGTACGAATTTTTGCACAAAGAACATTTGCTTTGTTTGAGAATACATTTAAATGTGAACATTTAGATAGTTTTCATATTTTTTTTAGTTCAAATTAAAGTAAATTGATTAATGATTAATTAAACTTGAAATTTCATTATTTGAAGAAATGTCAGTGTAAAAATTTAACACTGCTAGCTGTCAATATATTTCAGTTACAAAGTATAACCTATAAAAACACCTTAGAGAACCTAGTACTAAACCTAGATTTCAGATAAAAATAAATATAAATTTAATAATATTTTTGTGTAATATTATTATTAATGTACATTTTGATAAGTATTTAGTAGTCAAAATTTATTTTAAATATTTTAAAATTTTTCATGACTTTTCTTGTTAAAAAAATAAATAGTTACTTTAACATAAATATAATAATTACCAATGTCCTTAATTAATACATGATTTTAAATCATAAGACAAAAGAGTGTAAAAGTGATATTTAAAACTTGATAGATACTTAGGATTTTTGGCATTTTGAGCAAATTAAAAGTCCTCACAATGTTCAAATGGTATTTCAAGAAGGAATAACTAGTATTTTAAGATATTCTTTGATAAAACCAAACAATAATCCAGTGCGAGGTTTGCATAGTTATAGATGCAGAACTGCACTTTTGTATCTAATAATCTGAATAGGTACACATACAATGTTTGAAATGTAAACAATTAGTAATAAAAATAACTCCTTTTGTAAAAAAACTAATGAGTACTTACATCCTTGAACTAAGGAAAATCGAGAAATGGTCATATCTAATGGTATCATATCTTTTAACCATTTCACAGTTGGTTCAGGATCCCCTTCAAGTTGGCAAGGCAGCAACGCACTTCGACCTTTCTCAATGCCCTGCGTGTTAGGCTGTCTTATGAATGTAGGAAACCCAGGTGGTAATGCATTTTCTGTAAAAAAAAAAAAAAAAAAAAAATTAATAGTATCTGTGCATGCTAACAGTAAAATATTAATGCATAGATTCATCAACAATAAAATTTCATGAGAAACATTTTTGTCATAATGGTATACAACCACTTTGATGGCATACATCATGAAACAAATTTTGTCACAGAACAGATATCCAGCATGAAAATCAGTAACCTTCTGATCAACCATAGATGCCAAGAAACTTAAAAGTCAATTCGAAATAAAATATTATATTTCTATGTAGAAATATTAGAAATAATATCATATTTCTATGTATCATATATCTATGCAGAACAATTTGTTTCCAATCCACCCCCCAGCTCTGGTTTCCTGCATAATCCAGTGTTTTAGATGCCATAACAATCACTGGAAAATCCTGGAATGGCTCCCCCCCCCCCCCGAAAAAAAAGAAGAAGAACCCACCATGAATGGCATCTGAGGAGGGGTAGGAAAAAATTATCAATTCTGTTTCAAAATCGAGATGAAACAAACTCCAAAAACTTAGTCACTTATACAATAGAATAAATGACATCAGCAACCTGTTAGACTTGCATAGCGAAGAGCTGACAAATGATGGCTCACAGAAATACATGAGCAAATCGCTACCAAAGTAGCTGCCATCTTGGACCCAGATCCACAGAGAAACAGGTGGTAATTGCAATCATAAAAGAAAATCTCCCCTCAGCAAATTTTGGAGAAAATAGATTCTAATGAGGAACATGTTCTAGCTACAGGGCAAAGGAAGGGGGGGGACTATTAGTTGAAGAAATTTTATGTGATAAAAAATCAATGAGTTGTCTCATGAGTTTTGTTAAATTTTATGAAGCCATCAGCATTCGGATAATTTCTCTCATATACCACATTTATTTTAATACTAATTTATATTGCAACAAAATAGAGTCTTTACAACAGGCATGGTTTTTAGTTTTAACCTTTGGTGCTATTTTAACTGAGATTCATATGTATTCTAATGCCAAATCAGACCCCCAACATAAGCCCTATTTGTTGGCCATGCCAAAAACATAATTTTGGAATATTACTATATACATTAAATTATATTCAGATATATTTCAAGCTTTAATTTGAATTTACTCCTTTGAGGCTATATTTATTTTCAATACCTTTCTAATGGCAATAATTTTTCAATGAATTTACAAAGAAAATAAACTCCTGCAAATTAAAAAATTAATTATATATTTCCTACTCTATGCATATTTGAAAAAAGAATACATGCCTAAAATTTATAGCTTATTATTTTTCATTGTGTGAAATTTTTGATGAATTAAATAATAAAAAGTATAGTTTTTTTCACAAAAGGTATTGCCGTAAAAATTAACCCAATCTTATATTTCTCTAATTGGAACACTTTGATTTTTGATTCTTCTGAAATTGGAAGATTTTTGTATAAAACCAAAATCAAACTAAGCTTGGACTTTTGCCTAACTTTATAGTTGACTTTGATGTATTACTCTCTCACATATACACATACATATATATATTATGATAATTAAACTTTTCTTGAAATGCTGTGGTATTTCTCTGCTCCTTGAGAGCAATTCCAGCCTAACTAGAGATAACTTCTTGCAGATTTAATCATTTACAGTTATTTATTCTTGACTGATTATGACAGATAAGACAAATTTTAAAGTACAGGAAACAATGGAAAGTGAACCCAACAATTAATTTTCATCCCCAAAATATTCATTTGCATTTAATAAAATGAATTGTATTAAAATTTATCATATTTTATGTAACAAAGAATATTAAAATGCACAAATTTATATTCTATAGTGAGCAAATTAATTGTGAGAAATGTTTTTTATAGTTACGTAAATATCTTCAAATACAGTGATAATAATAAAATTAATAGGAAATACAGTTAAAAGTCATTAATCCGGACTCGTCGGGACTTCGGCGATTCCAGATTATCGATTTTTCCGGATTATAGATCATCAGTTTAAATCTGGTAAGATGGCATGCAGAAATTCTAAAATTAAAAATACGAGTATGAAACCGTAATTTATGAAATAAAGAACAATTATGATCTAAAGGGTATCAAAATTTACAAAACAAAAGCTTAATATTTATTTGTTTACTTCATTAATCATTTCTTTCAATGTAAGTTGTTTAAGTTGCTTCGTTTTATGTGATATTACTTTCTCTTTAATTCTATAAACAGACATAATTTCTTGTTCAGTTATGAAGTTCCGCTGTTCAAGTCCCGTAATTGCTGTGCTGAGAATACCGACTAACTTGTCAATCAAAATTTTTTCGTTTTCACTAACCTCTCTATCACCTTCATGTCTTTATCCATTTTTTGCAGCAATTCCACTATTTGTTTCATGGGCATCGAAACATACTTTCGTTTTGAAGATCCTTTGGGAGCTCCAGCATCGGAAATTCTATTTGACATAATTGAAAGTTCAAGTTTACTTTTATAAAATTGCTTTTACAGTCTGCACAAAATAATGAGCCGGATCCAATTCGAAGATTAAGGAACAACACAATCATCAACATTAACTGAAATAGATAATTAATAATTTTCTTATACCGTCCGTTATACATTAAACGCGCAAGCGAAAACGTATTCTGCGTTTGCGCACATGCATATTCGCATTCGTAAAGGTCTTATGCGCACGCGTAAATGCCTATGCGCATGTGTCAACGCGGCGCATGTGCAGAAAGTTTTTAGCTTTGAGGTCCGCATTATAGATCATTCCGGATTATGGGTGTCCGAATTAACGACTTTTGACTGTATATATTCCTGCAACAGAAATAACTTCTAGAATGAACTTAAGCGTTGACCATACTAGTCTTGTGCATATATTTTTTACTTCTTTATCACAAACCACACTTTTATGGGATTCTTAATCACAGTCTCTTGTCATACAATCCATTTTGCTAAAATGTTCTTTCAGAATGAGCCACAAGTTTTTGATTGGATTTAAGTCCAGTGAATTACCAGATCAATTTAGGATGATAATTTTACTTTCCAATATGAAACTTCTGACAGATTTTGAATTATGGAATGGAAGTTCTTGCAAAGGTTTTCAAGAATAGCACATTTAGAATTTCTATATACTTCAATGAATCAATCATTCCATTAGTAAGAACTAGATTTCTAGTGCCACCTGCTGGTGAAAAAAACCAAAAATATTTGCTTCTGAGGGTCTTTTATGAGTTGCTTGGATATGTTGAGGTCTTGAATGATTCACCTTTGCTTCATCTAACAGTGATGAACAAATAAAGGAGCCTCATCGCTGAAAATGACCTTTTTCTAGTCACTTTATAAGGTATTTCTCAAACCTTCTTGCCATGCCTTCGTGGTATGGTGGTCTGCACACTGGGCCAGTATTTCAGAGGTCTGTGGTTTGATTCCCAGCGAAGGCATTGTTAATTTTTCATCTCTCCTGCTCCAAAAAAATACCTAATGTCTCTACAGTGGTCCCCGAACTAAAAGGGTCGTGGATGATGATTCTCCCCACCCAGGATTTGGTGATTGGGTCCCCTAGTCGCCCTTTAAAAGGGGGGGGGTTATATAAGGTATTTCTCCTACCTTCTTGGTGTGGTGGTCTGCAGACTGGGCCGATATTCCAGAGGTCCGCGGTTCGATTTCTGGGGAAGGAATTGCTAATTTTTCATCTCTTCTGCTCCCATTAAATACCTAATGTCTCTACAACTTATGATCTAAGATTTGTATTTTTTGGCCCACAATACTTGTTTTGCTTCACGTGAAGCACCAAATTTTGTTTTTTGATCACCTTTCTTGCTTTCTGACCACCAGTGACCAGCAATTCCAACTAGCTATAGACAACAGTTTAATGCCTTTGCTAGTTTTTATTGAACTAATAATGCTTTTCCAAAGTACGAATCAATCAGATTCTGGTCTGCTTTCTTTTTTCTTCCCCATTTTCCCTTCATTTCTAGAGAAAATAATCCAATTTCATTATGTCTGCTCAGAATTTTAGAAACACTGGATTTTCCAACACAAGCTGCATAATTGCATTAGTGCTTTTGCATTTTACTTTGTTTTTAATAGCACTGATCATATTTTTTTCTTTGTATATAAAGCAATAAAATTTTAAGAAATAATGAAAATATTTTCATAAAAAGTAGATTTTATAGAAAATTGTTTTAGGGGAGATGTCATGCTTAATTGTGAAGAGTGCTTGGGCATAGAAAGGACATTCAGCACTAAGGTCACCGACCCTCAGAGGAACTTTGCTCTCAATATGCTTAGAGTGAAAATGATAAAGAATCTATATTAATCCAAGTCTGCTGCCCAAATAGAATATCTCATATTTTTTACACTAACAAGGAATTTTTAGAATTTTTATGACCTACCATTAAGAACAATGAGATCAGCTAAAGCTCTCACGGGTTCCCCAACTCCATTTTCAGCTACACATTCATAAGTGGCATCGTCTCTTCCAGCTCTCACAGGTTCGATTCTAAGTACAGATCCATTAGGCATATCTATGGCAGAATAGCGCTGTGTTGTTACTCTTTTGCCATTTTTTCGCCATTCAATTTGCGGATTTGGATTGCCAACAGCAGTACACAAAAAAATTGCAATACCACCACTTGCAACAGTTTGATCTTTTGGGTAGGTTTCAATGCGTGGTGGATCTAGAGTTAAAAAAAAAAAAATAGTAATTAGACAAATACGATAAAAATAAACTCAATTAAATGGCTGAAAAATACAGTAGACACAATTACATACTTTGCAGATTTAGAATACATTTATCCTGCAATTAAATCAGAAATGCCAGATAACAAATTTCTCTTCCTTATGGAAAAACTGATTGACTTAAATCCTATTGTATTTTTTCTGATCATGCCAATTTAATACTTTAATAGTGATAAGAAATTTCTGAACCTACTTAAAATGTACATAAAACAGATTTTAATTCTAAATAAATTGATACAAAAAGTTGCTGTTATTATGTCTGTGATAAATTCTATTCAAACAGTGCCATGGGAGAAGATGACAGACCTGGCAAATCGATGTACTAAGTGATCGGACATATAACTCACAGGAATAAATACAAAAACTGCCGTAGTAATAGATTTAACATACATACATAGAATACGAAAAAAAAAAAAAAAAAAATCCTATTTTAGTATTAAAGCGGCCGCTGCATATGCTTTGGCGAAATTCGGCGACATTTAAAATTAATTTGGAGAAGATAATTAAAAAACACTCTAGCAGCCTTCAGAAAATAAAAAACTGCAATATGGGAACATAATAAATAACATTTATTTAACAATTAGTAAAATTTATTTGCATTTAACTTGGAATACTATTGACCTTTGGAGAAAAAAAATTACAGGTACTCTCGATTATCCGGGTGTGGATTATCCGCAAAGCGTATAATCCATGCGTAGCGGTGTTCACGCACGCACACTCAACGCTTTGCCGTGACCTTCAATAAAAAATGCTCTAAAAACCGCTGAAATGCGTCTTTTAAGTTTAGTTTTAATGATTAACTCGTACAATCGTTCTGCATGTGCACAGTCAAAAGCATCATTATCTTTATCACTGGAGCTACTTTGCTTTGTTTTGTACGTATTTTCGTGTTTATTTTCTTCTTGTTCTTTTAAAACTGATTTATAAATTTTAGAACTAAAAACTGAGTAAGGAACACGCCACAAGTACAACTCGTAAGAAAGTTGCTTTAATGATAAAATAAAATTTATAGCAAATGGCAAAAGAATAGAGGAGGCTGAGAAGGATACTGAAAATGCAAGCGAAGAATATGTTAGCAATTACATTATTCCCAACTTCAGTATGACTTCTGTCAAAAGTCCTCCGTCAACCAAATAAAATAACAATAATTTGAATACAATGGTAAAATAGCACTTCGAAAAATACGCAGGGAAATTCAACAAATACTTAAACGCTCTCAAAAATCAAAGCAAAATTATTGATTTTTTAAGGAAATAAACATATACAACATGCATGAAAATTGATAGTTTGGATTATTCGTCATTTGCTTCCCCGGCATTAGCTCGGATAATCGAGAGTATAGTATATTTATGCGAGCGCAGTGTATAATTGTTATATTTTACCTCATCTTACATTTTGCTACCACGCAAATTCTCTTAAATGCGGATCGAAATGTTGACCAGCCGTTCCTCTTTGCTTTTGTTTCATCATTCGGCAGCGGCTTCTTCTTTTTCAATGGATCGCAAGTTAAATATGTTCACCGTTTTAGAGGAGAAATTAATAAAGAAGAACACGAAAGAATGCACGACATCACAAAGTATTTGAATTTCAAGCTGACAAAAAGGCAACAGTTGCCAACTTTTAAAAAGGAAAATAATTAATGATAGAAAGGTATCACGCGGTCAAAAGTGAGAATGAAAATAAAAAATGTGACACATTATAAACATAACAAATAATTACTACTTATTTTCTAATTAAATATAAGCTAAAATGCTACACATTTTTAGAGGAAAAAAGAATTACAGAATTGATGCTATCACACGGACAACATCGCAATCAAAACAATCTAAAAATCAAATTCTTCGCAGGTTAAAAATAGGAGGGATTATATTTACAAGCATGGCTACTATTTTTCCGATTGACCAAGGTGGTCGCTTTAATTCTACCCTCCAAAAAAGTTTATTTTTTTCTTATTTCTTTTGATACCTTGGCACAATGTAATTTTATTTCAGGTTAGATTAAATACTTAACTATAACAAAGCATCGAAAAATAAAAAAAAATCCCCCCTCAAACTCCATTCCAAAATCAAGATCCTTTGGAAAATTACAATAACAACAAAAAACAGCATTTTATTTTCTATAGCATTTTAACGTTAAATTCCAGTATCTATACTTTCTTTACAATACTTCTACTTATGCCAAGAAACAACATTTACAGGGAAAGTAAACAGCAATTACTTCGTTAAACAACTGCAAGCTTAGGAACAGAATTCCAAAGCTCTAAGAAAAAATGACTTCATCACTTTCTAATGGCTTGTAATGATAATACACAACGAAAAACTACAAAAACTCACTGGGGTAGGTCTAGGCCCAGGTCTAGGATGCCAGGTTTTCTGAGATAACAATAATATTTTTTTCATTTAGAAATATGAGGATATGGGTGTTGAATGTTGCTAAACGAGCGCTGTGTCTAAACTCAAAATTGACTTCACCAGTTCCTGTGTAAAAGTCTCATAAATTTCAAAATTAATTCCAGTTAGAAAATAAAATAAATTTATTTATAGATTTAAGTTATATGCCAATAATTTTCCGTTCATAGAGAATCCATATGCCACATTCATTAATTACAACAATACAGATAAACTTTTACATTTAAAATGCTGAGACAATATGATACTTCGATGAAAACTATTTTAACAGACATCTCCAAATATAATTTAAGGAATATATTTTTCTTTAAATAGCTGTTATGAAATGTGCTCGATCTCACTCTGTATCATCTGACGTCCGGAATAAATTGCTAAAATAATTCTGTTAGGTAAAATAATACATAGAATTTTCCAGCGTATTTATATATGCTGCTATTTTAATTAAAGTGCTTACTTAATTCCATTAAATACAATAATTAATGTACATATTCATTAAGTTCTGTTAAAATATGTTCTTATTTTAAATAAGAAAACCGTATTAAACTGTAATAAACACAAATTTATAATAAAATTCCGGTATTTATAGCGCTTTCAAAACGTGGAAAACGCAAGTTAAATTTCGTCAATCGGCTATGTAGAACGGGAGACATAAAACTGCTTTCCCCCTTTTTTTGTGCGTGTGTTGTGTGTGTGCCACTGAATTAGCAGTAAAATAAATCTTTTACATCTCTCGTAAAAGCTTTCTTCAATTCATCGAAAGATAGCAAAACTTTTGTTTATCAAAAGAACGTTAGCTTTTGCAACACATTTTAACCGCTGCAAAAGGTAAATTAAATTGCTTTTAGAAGCACATTTCACAACAGCAAAGGAATTTTTAAATTTTAAGTACTTTTAATGCTATACGTTTGAATGAATTAATGTATCGAATTTGAACATAAGTTGAAATTCTTTCCCCCTCTTTTTTTCTTTATTTTACTGGGGAAAACGATCGTTTAAAGAAATCAAAGACCTTCTGATACTTAGTCATTCATTTATTATATAAAATACTGAAAATTTCAACAGATGAAGATAATTTTAACAAGTAATACATAAAAAAATTTTTGCAAGTCAATTCCTACTTAGGTCAACAAAGGAAAATTTTATTAACGTTTTTAATTAATTAAAAATTAATTTTTCATAGCCTCAGTTTTCATAGCATAAGAACTATTGTTATTTCTTTGTTAAAATCACAAATTTTGCTTAAAGGAGAAGTTGAATGTTTAGAAGGCGGTAGATTTTTGGTAAATATCGAGTTATAGATTCAGTCCAATAATTTTCATCTACGTATCATATTCCGCGCAATATTCATCTCACATTCCGTTCTTTTAACTAGGGTTAAGCACTGAAATATAATATAAAATACAGACAGAAGATAAAAACTACATAAAAGTACAGATTCCGGACTTCGCGCGGTCAGTTGTACCTATTTATAAGAAAACAATTTCCATCAAACAAACCTTTTCATATTTATTTTCTTGAATTAAATAATAAGTTTATGATACATACTGCATATTTTAAATATATCACGTACATAGCTGTTACAAAAAGTCCCACGTAACTAAGACTGAACTTTAAAGTATAATTCCTCCAGTTATTTTACATATGAAGTAAAAAATATTTCTCATATTAAATTTGACAAAATGGAATCATAAGCATACTTAATACATTTCATGAAAATCAAATAAAAATTAACTGCTACAAATGTGGGAAAAAGCATCAGCATGTTAGAATACATTTTTTTATACATGTGAATACACACAAGAGAGTTTTTGAGTGCAATATACTTATGTTTCCAAAGTAAAAAATAAATAAATAAGTAAATAAAAATGAGGATGGAATTCTTCTGTATTAAAATAAGAATCAGGAAATAAGTTACAATTTATTGAAGACATACTGAAACTATGAGTAGGGTTGCCATTTACCTTGAATAAAAATACTGATTTGATAAATATCTGCGGTTGATCTGAATATGCATACGAAATAGCGAATTTTGAGTTTTAAACAGAAAAACAGTCTTTTGCAGACGATTAAAAATAAATAAAAAAAATAAAGGTCGCAGGTCACAATAAAAGAGATAGATATGCTGTGCAGGAATGGCAACATCATAATGATATTCTAAAGATCTGGTATTAAAAAAAAAAAAAATTGGACTAATACAATGTTTAAGTTTCATACAGAAGCAAGATGCTTCGCTTTCTTTCCTTTCAGATGAGCCTCTTCCGTAGAAACTCGCTATCTGGATTCCTCACCGTCAGACTCAGAAAAGGATTAAATACGGAACTGTTAAAAGCAGGCTACAATTACTTGCTGAACACCAGTATAACTCAAAGTTCCACATGTTTAAGACGCAGCAGCTTATTTTTGTGCAGTTTAAATGTTTAAATAAAACTATTAACAGTGTCACAATAAAAGCCTTTTTTTATTTTTATTTTTATTATTTTTATTTTTTTTAAAGAAGTTAAAACTTCAGTACAGTGCGAGAGGAAATTTAT